GCAACTCCTTCTCCGCGGAGACCCCGACTCGGGAGCCACGGCTCGCGGTGAGCGCCGCCCCAGGGTGTGGGTCCTGGGGAGCAAAGGGGCGGGTCCTGAGGGGCCCCAGGGCAGAGCTGGCGTGGGGTCGGGGCTTCAGGGCGGGGGGAGGGGTTCCCAGCAGGGCCGGGGGGACACTCTGATCAGGGACCTCGGTGCCGGCGGAGGCGTCAGCGAGGCCCACGGGCCCAAAGCGCCTGCGGCCGCCAGCCTAGGCACCTGCTGGTCTTTATGTCTTGGCACCCCTCGTGGAATCATGGGCTCTGGAAGGAAATTCCCAGAAGGCTCCAGGCTGTCAGCACTCAGGGCAGCTCTCTATGCGGCCTTTAGAGGGGGCTGGGCCTTTCTTCCCCTGCAGGTGGCCCCGGGTTAACCAGTAGCAATCGCTGCCTTGCAAGGTGGGGGCAAGGTTTCCATACCCAAGGGGGCCATGCAGGGCCTCCCAACACCAACATTCTCTGACTCGGGTCTTTAACTCCAGATGCTGGAGACCAATTTCCTCTTTTCTGTGATAAGGGGAGGTTGGAGATTGGAGACCCTGCTGGGCACCCCTGTACTCTCAGCCCCTGCAGGTCTCAGGTCAGAGTCTGCCGGGTGTCACCTGGTCACTACAGACCTTAAAGGGGAGATGGTCCCAGATAGGGCAGGGGTTTGCTCAAGGACTCAGAGCCACTGAAGTCCAGGCCATGGGCTTCCAGCTGGGGTCCGCCCACTACATCATCCTGCCTGTCAGGCCACTCCAGCCTTCAGCTGCCCGGGGATGGCTCCTGAGTTCTCAGGAAAGGAGGGAATAAACTGGAAAGCCTTTTTTGAGCCAGGCCGATAGGACAGGCAGGTTTCCCAGGGGGAGAATGGGAGGGGCGGTTCTAAAGTGGAGGGGCCCGCACAAGCAAAAACATGGCAGCGGGACATCTCCGGTCTCGCGTAGGGAACTGCCAGGCCTCTCGGGTCAGGTCTGCAGGTGGTGGTGAGGCAGCCTGGGGAGCAGAAGCCTGGAGGGCAGCGTCAGAGGCACAGCACTGAGCCCGTGATGAGAGACAGGGAGACCCAAAGCCACCCATAGGAGGTGTAGTGGACAGGAGTCAGAGGGGCACCGCCACCCGCCTAGCCAGTCTGTTGGCCTCTGGACACAGCCTTGTGAATGGCAGTGGCTTCCCAGTGGCGTAGCTCAGTGGTTGAGCATCTCTCTACCAATGGACCAGGAGGCAGCCAATCAATGATTCTCTCTCATCATGGATGTTTCGATCCTCCCTCCCTCTCCCTTCCTCTCCGAAATTAATCAAAATATAAAAAAATAAAATAAAGGGGAGGCTTCATCCTACAGCTTCTGGGCCCAAGTTCAGTACCTGGTCCTTCCGAGCCAGGCCTCTTCCTGCTCCTGTCCCACAGGAGGTATCGGACCAGTGGGACTGGAGAGGACTTCTCCTCCTTGGCCTCTCCCATCCCCCATGCTTGTGTGCAGCCGGGGAATGTCAGGCCTGGCCTCACCCTTGGGCACTCCCCATGCCCTGGAGTAGGATGAAGTCAGGCACCTCGAAGCTGGGGTGGGGCTGAAGCCATGCCATGAGGAGGGCAGGATGCCTCTGGCGCGGTTCAGCAGGCTTCCCGGAGCAGGGGCCATACATCAGGGCGTAGGAAGGGGAATTTGGGCCAGACATGAGGAAGTGTTGGAATTCCCACCAGGGCTGGTGTGAGTAAGCTCAGTGGCTGCTGCGGTTGGGGTTTCTCCACTATCCTGCCTCTGCCTGCCTGGCAGTTGAGCTCTTGCTGTGTGCCTGGCCTGCCTCCACAAGCCCTCACTGACGCCTCACCATGCCCCTTCCTTCCAGGGAGGAATGACTCTCCCATTTTGCAGGTGAGAACATTGAGGCTCAGGGAGAGGATGAAAGAGGCAAAGGGAGTTGATACAGGTGTGAACCAGCTTCTGAGCCTGCACTCCTAATGGTGCCTTCTTCTGGGCCCAGCACTAGTGACTGGTCGTGTGACCCTGGGAAAGCCACTGACCCTCTGTGCTCTTTTCCTGGCGATGAGAGGCAAAGGCATGACAGTTCTTTGCAGAGTCGCCTTGAAACCCCCTTTAGGGATCTTTCTAAAACGGGACCTGTGTTTTCTCTCAGTGTCTTTCTGGAGCCTGCAAGTCCAGGTTACACAGGGCTGGGATTTCTTCCCATCTGACATTCAAGAACACAGAGACCCAGTGGTTTTGTTCAGCCCAGAGGCAAGCAGCAAATCGGTGGCCAAGCTGGGAACAAACCTTTGGATTAGACAGCCCTGGGCCCCAGGCCAGGCTCTGTATGAGCCTCATCGCTGACCCTCCATTTCCTCATCTGTGAAGTGGGGATAGTAGTCGTCCCTGCCTCTCAGGTTTGTTGGGAGAATTAAATGAGCTAATACATGCATAGTGCCCAGCGTATGAATGCTGAATCAATGTCAGCTGTTCTTTAATGAGAATATAATAATGTTTTAGGTTAATCAGTGTACTCTGAGTGCATTCTCTGGGCCCCACCCTGTCTTCAGGGGCTACTTCTGGCCAGGGAGACATGGGGAACCAACAGCCATGATGGGGTGGGGGGTAGGGCTATGATGGGGGAGGCCCAGGAGGCCACGGAGGAAGCATCTGCCCAGCCTGGGGCTCAGGGGGGCGCTTCAGGAGGCATGAAGGTCACAGAGGGAAGCAGAAAGCGGTTTGGGAGCCCGAAGGGGCATCTGGAGGAGGTGGAGCGAGCCGGGTCATGAAGGTCAAGTTGACTCCAGGCCGAGGAAGCTATTTGGGGAAGTGAAGTCCAGGACTGTAGCTGGAGGGTGGCGACTGGGTGGGGTTCAGGGTAGTGGGAGTTGAGGCTGCAGCTGCCCGTAGGCCTTGGCAACGAGGCTGGGGGCTGGCGAGGTGGCGGTTTTAGGAAGACCCTTCAGTTGTGGCCTTAGGGTTGTCAGCAGGCAGGGCATGGGTAGTGGCTGGTGAGGAGGCCACCACTAACTCAGGCCAGAGAGATGGCACCTGAGCAAGGGGTGTCTAGGGCTCCCTCTCAGAGGTGAGCAGGGCAGGGTGGACAGTGGGGTGACCTAGAGCAGGAGCCATCAATGGAGCCTGACTGTCAGCTGAGCTGAAAGTTGGGGGCCCCCAGGTCTGTCCCCGGGAGTCGCCAGGGGCAGGCACATCAGGGGCCAGTCCTGCCCTTCCAGTCTAAAATGGGTAGTTCCAGGCAACTTTCCTGTTCTGAGTGGTATGTGAAGTGGGGCTGGCTCTAGGCATAGAAATTGGTAACAGGAGAGCACCCCCTTCTGGTCAGTAGTGGAGGTGCTGGCTCAGGATGGCCACATCAGCCAGCTCTGTCCCTGTGTGGGGCCCTGGCCATGATGGAGATGCCAGCACCAGGTGACAGGAGTCAGAGGTGGCCGGAGAGAGGGAGCTCCATGGAAAGAGAGGCCCCAGTTGACCGCTTCACAGCCTTTCACCCCTGACTCTCACCAATACTCTGTGGGGACCCAGGAACAAGGTTGGTGAGGCTCAGAGAGTGGGAGTCGACTGGCCAGGACCACAGGGCCAGGGATGGAGATTCTTCCTAGAGGAGCTAGGGGCTGGGGTGCTGTGCATGCAGGACTGGAGACACAGCTGGATGGGCAGGGTATGGAATTGCGGGTCCTTCCCTCCGTGTGTAAGGCTCTGGCTGGGTCCAGGGTGGGATTGTTGGGGAACCCCTCCAAGCCGTCACTGTCTCCTTCCTCCACAGGAAGGTCTGAGCCCTGCCCCCGGCCTACCCACCGCCCCAGCCCCAGCCCCACAGCAGCCCTCTGGTGAGTAGTTTTGAAGGGGTGGACCCAGCTCAACTCCAGCTGCTCATTGATCCTGCACTGGGGGCCTCTTGGGGGCAGGTGTCAGTTGGAGGTGCCTTAGCCTGGTCTCTGTCTGCAGGTGGCAGTCCCCCATTGGAGGAGCCATCCCCTAACCCAGGGGAAGAGGCTGGGCTGGTAAGGTGGGCTGAGGTGGGAGGAGCTGATGAGTGGGCACCTCCTAGGCAGGGCCTGGGCTGAATCCACCCTGTCCCCCCTCCCTTTTTACCCCAGCAACGGTTCCAGGACACAAGTCAGTACGTGTGCGCAGAGCTACAGGCCCTGGAACAGGAGCAGAGGCAGATAGATGGACGGGCAGCTGAGGTGGAGACGCAGCTGAGGAGCCTTATGGCATCAGGTGGGCCAGGCGTCTCGAGTCCACTCCCCAACACATGCCACCCGATCTGCCCAGTCCTGCAGCCCTTCCTGACCTTGGGAGGAGTTGGGGGGAGGCAAGGCTGGGTTCATCGTCCCCATTTACAGCTGGGCACGCTGAGGCCCTGAGCAGGGAAGCAGCTTGCTGGAGACACACAGCTCTGGCTTCTGGGATGCCATAAGGGAGCGCCCCCGCCCCCCGCCCCCCCCCCGCCCCGGGTTCAGGGGCAGGCCTGGTGACTGTCAGGCCGGGCTCAGGTGCCAACAAGCTGCAGGAGGAGGTGCTGATCCAGGAGTGGTTCACACTGGTCAACAAGAAGAACGCTCTCATCCGGAGGCAGGACCAGCTGCAGCTGCTGTGAGTGCCGGCCCCGCGCTGCCCAGGCCCCACCCGGCCACCCCCGGCCCACAGAGCAGAGAAGCTTTGCTCCTTTGATGAGAGCGACTCACTGCTTTCTTCTCTCTATGAAGATCTTTTTGAAAAATTGCTCAGCCATCTTATCCCCCCCCCCCAATTTCCTGTTTAAAGTGTGTACCTCTTAAATTGGTGCTAATTTTACTAATGAGAGAAAAATGTGGTGCAGACAGGTTGGGGCTGAGTGCCCTAGTTTGACCCTGTTCCTTTACAGTTAGGGAAACTGAGGCCCAGAGAGACCTGAGCTGGTTTCCCCAGTGGCATCAGAGAAGCCAGTCTGGCAACAATCGCCTTTGTAGTCCTGCATTTTGGATCATTTTTCAGAATAATTTTAATTTAACACTTGCTGTTTATGAGTAATGTTCATGCAAATAATCCCACTGAGTTATTATTTCATTTATTATTTTTTTAATCCTCACCAGAGGATATGTTTATTTGTTTTTTCATTGATTCGAGAGAGAGAGGAAGGGAGAGAGGAAGGGAGAAAGGGAGATATATCCATTGGTTTGCCTCCCATATGTCCCCTAACTGGGATTGAACCCACGACCATTCAGTGCAGGGAGCGATGCTCTAACCCACTGAGAACACACACACAGGGCTGTTTTATATTTTTAAAGGGGCGGGCACCCTGGCGGGGCAGCTCAGCTGGTTAGAAAGTCATCCCCACAGGCCAAGGCTGCAGGTTTGCTCTCTGGTCAGGGCACATACAAGAAGCAACCAATGAATGCATATGTAAGTGGGACAACGATATCAATGTTTCTCTCTTAAGTCAATAATTAAAATAAAAAGGGGTGGGGGGTGGGAGAAGACAATATACACTTCCAACAATTGGGGAACAGTTGGAACAAAAGAGATGGCTGAGTCCAGGATAGAGCTGTGCCCTCAGCCCAGCCCTCGGGAGAACTGGGGGTGAGGTGCGTGGGGGCCAGGGAGTGGCTCTCCCGTTCCCCTTCCCCTGACCGGCACCTCCGCCTCCCAGCATCGAGGAGCAGGACTTGGAGCGGAGGTTCGAGCTGCTGAGCCGGGAGCTACGGGCCATGCTGGCCATCGAAGGTGGGAGATGGGGCCGCAGGGGCCTGGGTGGAGGACAGGGCCGCGGCCGGTGCCTCCTGACCCTCCGCCCCTTCCGCCCTCAGACTGGCTGAAAACGGCGGCGCAGCAGCACCGAGAGCAGCTC